GGTCTGGGTGGGGCTGGGAGCCAGGGGAAGGCCAGGCCCGCTCACGCACAGACCGCGACTGAGGAAGGGCCACTGTCCCAGCACGCAGTGGGGCAGGAGACTGCACGGAAAGCAGGCTTGGGGACCAGGAGCGTTCCTGAGGTGCTGGGGTAGATTAAGAGAGAGGCAGAGCCCGAGAGTTCAGGGAGGAGCCTCAGAGACAGAGAAGACGTCTGGAAACACTGGTGTGACGAAGCCAGGGTGGGCGACCCCAACCGTTGCTGCAGAGGCACCGTGAGACCGAGGACAGAGTTTCCAGTGAACTTGGTCAGAAGGAAGGGACGGTCCTGGCCAGGCCAGCGTCACGGGCTTGGGAACAGAGGCCTGAAGGCAGTGGCTGGGATGGCACAGGGCCCCCTCTCGGGCCTGAGGGGTGGACGCGGGGGAAGCGAGGCCCTCACACACTCCCCTAAAAGGCTCAGAGCCTTTCAGAAGGGGGGGGGTCACCCAGCACTGTCCTCAGAACCGACTCATTTCGGCTTCCATGGTCTGGGGCAGCACTTCCCCTAAATCTGGCCCTCGAGACCCACGGCCTGCCCAGTGTCCTGCACAGGACACCCACAGTGTGAGCCCCCCGCTACCCCCCACATACGGCCGCTGGTGAAGAGGAGAGCTTGGCCTGAACGCCACCCACGCAGCTGTGAACGGCAGGTGTTTCTGGTGGATGTGGTCGGCCTGAGGAGGACGCCCCCTGCCAACCGCAGAGGGCGCTATGCGGCCACAGGCGGCGCTTTCCCGAGACCGGAGCCCTGCAAGGTGGGGGGGGGGGCTCGGAGTGGAGCAGGAAGCGAAGGGCAGGAGGCTGCAGGGACAGGTGTGAACTTCGGAATCAAACAAGGGGCTGTGAACCCCGGTCCCGCCCTTCCTGACCTGTCCTCTCAGGCAAATCAGCTCACCTGTGAGGCTCCGCCGCTCCGCCCGCGCAGGGCGCTGGGCACAGGGCGGGGCTCAGCGCTTATCTGTTGGCTGGAAAGTGGGGATGATAACCGCCTACACGAGGCTCTTGGGAAAAAGAAAGAAGATAACCAGGATAAGCACACAGCCTCGCCCTGTGGTTCTCAGTGAGAGCGTGCTCACACCTTCCAGCCTGCGGGAGGTGGATGGGGGCTCTGTCTGGAGTTTCGAGTTCCCAGAGCCCATCCGCTGGGCTCCTCGTCCAGAAAGCCACGGAGCCCGCGGGCCCTGTGGTCACGGCCCCTCATTAATATACCGCCCCACCCCCCCGACCGCAGTAGGACGCCGAAACACTGAGTGAACGAACTACTTCCACACTCTCCGAGGACACCTTTCGGTAAGAACGCTCTTTTTAAGAATAAAGCGTTGCCAAGAGCCTCTCATACTGGTGGACAAACACGGAGGCGGTGAGTTTGCTGTTGGCAGTGAAGGAAGCCGTGACCCCATCCCTGCTGGCTGAGCGAGGACTCACCCCGCCGTCAGCAAAGCCCTCCGTGCGCAAAACAAGCCCAGGGCCAGGTGGAAACATGCCTGTGAATTAAGAGACACGCCGCAACTCAAAATGAGAGACAGGAAAAGGAGGACACCTGGGCAGCATTTCAAAATCATTTCAAAAGAGACCTGTGATCAAATTATATCATTTCACCCACCAGGAGTTCTCTCTGTGAAACTCAAGGGTCAGGCACTGAACCATGGGAATGTGAAGTGAAGAAGTCACAGGGGCGCCAGCTTCCTCAGCAGAGCAGCCCCCCTTCTCCCGCCTGCCCGAGGGGCGGCGACCGTCTCCAGGGCTCCGGGCGGCCAGCAGGGCAGCCAGGGGGTGGGGGAGGAAGGCCAAGGCCAGCGCAGCGGTCACAGGGGCGTGCGTGGGTCCCACGAGCCCACAGCTGCCCGACACACGTTCGCCTGCACGTGCGGAGCCCCTGATGCTGAGGCAACGGCAGCTGTGGGCGTCCCGGGAGGTCTGGGAGGGGAGCCGCTTCCACAGGGTGAGTTTCTGGTCCAGCATCTGAACAGAAACCCTCCACCTTCTGAACAGCACGGATGAAAAACAAGGTCTCCTTTGCTCTGACAGGACGCGCTCGTGGCGGCTCTGCTGGGACCTCGGGTGACCTGCTCTGTGGCCACAGGCCTGTCCTTCCCACCCTGAGCCTCTGGGTCAAGCACACGATACACCCATCACTAAAAATTGGAAGTGACCTCTGAACAGTGAACTACAGACACTACTGAACTTCAGCACCATGAAGTTCCCAAATCTCCCCAAATAATTTTTCTGTTTTTTCATAGAAAGCACAAATTACAACTGCAGTCCAAAACGTAAAGAAAAAAGAAATTTAACAGAAAAAGAATTCTAATCATATCACTGTATTTACTCCCTTTCCTTTAACAAAAGACATTAACTTTTTAAACCAAAAGTCAATGAAATTAATATACCAAACAATAATCTGGTACAATCATCACCCCACAGCAAGTTCATCAGAGCGGGGACTGTTTCTGTGAAGCAGATTCACTACAGATCAAATTCAAAGAGCAAATGCTTCTACCTGTGGAACATTTTTAAAGACAAAAAGAAGCCCTATTTCCAAATTTATACAAAATGGGTAGACAGAGCTACCTTTCATAAAGTGGCAACTTTTCTACCAAAGTAAACTACAGCTGGCCTTATAAAATGCTGGAAGTAAACGCTATCATTGAACTCTAAATTGCACTTTCAAGACTTATCTCAGAACTCTAAGCCAGCATTCCTGTGTATATTCTATTAAAATTAGGTTTAATCAACAATTAATTCAACTGAGAATGATAAAGACTCCGCCAATGGCACTGCGCTAAATGAGCAAAAGGAGGAAAAGCTGGAGCGGACAATGAGGGTTTTCGAGACTCCTCACTTGCTGAAGCAGCAGCTCTCTCTGCGGTGCCCCAGACGTGCTGCTGGGGGCGGGCCGGCCCACGGGCAGCCAGACCGTCTCGGAAGCTCTAGGGCAGGGTGTCCAACCTGCGGCCACAGGCCGTCTGCAGCCCAGGACGGCTGTGAATGAACGCGGCCCGACACAGAACTATAAATTTACTAAAAACGTCATGAGATTTTTTGTGATTACGTGTCACAAGGATTTTAGGTGTGGCCCAAGAGCTGCTCCTCCTCCAGCGCGGCCCAGAGGCGCCACGAGGCTGGACAGCCCAGCCCTGACAGCCTTCCCAGCAAACGCTCGAGGTAAAAAGGTGAGATGTAATCAAGTGAAAGGTGAGCATAAAACAAGAACACTTTGCTTCTCACTACTGAATAGTGTCAAATTACCTTCTATCAGAGAGAGAGAGATGACTGTGTAGCAATAAAAATGACCCATTCTTGTCTTATCACAAACGGATGGAATCTACAAAGATGTTAATTACGTCTAGTGAAAAGTAGAGAATGACATTTGGCCCAAGGATTTCCGGAAGAACAAGGGAGACGGAGGCAAACACATCAGGACACCACGCCCGCAGCTCAGGGAAACGAGGAGACGCTGAGGCCCTGAGCAGGCGTGGGCCCCGCCCCTCGGCGATCTGCACGTGACCCTGAGCCCATCACTTCCCTCCTGGGGCCCCCTCTCCCACGGGCTCCTCCAGGCTTACACTCAAGGGAAAGGAAGTCCTGCCAACCCCAGCTGCTGTGAGTTACCACTCCCGGGCCCGGACACCTGCTGACACCGGACGTCCACGCGTGAACCTCCGCCCGTCAACTCCCGTAACTCCCGGCCCGTTTCGTCCCGCAAGCCCCAGAGCCCGCTCAGCGGAGCCCCTTCCTGGGAAGAGACGGTCCCACAGCGGGGCCCGCACGTGCGGGAGGCAGGCATTACTGACGCTTTCCCGAACTGACCAAGAATTACTTTTTTGTGTTAGCATTAGAAGTTTTTAAATCAGACTCACTTGAACAAAAAACAACTTCAAAATTCTTCGTGAAAGGGAACGGGAACCGCAGTCTTTTCAGTCTTGTGGGGGCAGGCCAGGCTCGCTGCCCACCAGGCTCGCTGCCCACCAGGCTCGCTGCCCACCGTGCCCCCTCGCGGAGGGGGTCGAGCATGCAGGTCTGGCAGGTCGTCGATGACCTCTGGGTCAGTCGCATGGACTCAGAGCACTTTCGTGTCCTTGATTGCTGAAACACTGAGACGGAGGAGTGACGGGTCTGGGCTAGGGGGTCTCCAGGCCTCTGCAGCCGCCGACCCAGACCCAGCGCCCACTCCGTCCATGCACTGCCGAGTTCTCCCTCTAGGCGACACGCCCTGGATTCAGACAGCTGCTGGGGCTCGGTGCTTCGGGGTCCCCAGGTGTGTTGGGGAAACGCCCGGACGGACAGACGGACGGACGGCGCAGGAGAGGAAGACTTCCCGGCAGGAGGCGCAGCTGGGCCTCTGTGCACAAAGAGGGCAGCTAGATGTGCCCCCCCGCCCCCCCCTCCTGCGCTTCCACCCCACGAGGAACGTTCCCAAAGTGACTCGCAATGCTGCCCAGTGTTCGCCCAACAGTCGTTCTTTCCTTCTCTTCCTTTCGTTTCTTTCTTCTGCATTTCTTAGTCTTCAGTTTTTTATTTTGAACATTACCAAGCTCTTTTAAAACTCACAAGGGATCATATTCTAAAACAGTCTGCCAGGTTCTGGGGTGGAACCAGAGAATCAGAGAGGAAGGGGCGAGCTCTCCGCAGGGCAGGTGAGAACAGTTCAGGTGACTGAGAAAACGGAGTGAGCGTCTCTCCAGCTCCGCCGGCAGAGCCGGACAACCGTGAAGACACAGGAAGGCACTCACCCAACTAGGAATACCTCGCACCAGGTTTTAAATGTCAGTATATGCAGAACTGCTATTTTTGGAAAAACTTTAAAAAACTTTAAAGAATCAAAAGTAACCAAGACCAAAAGAAACCTACTTCATAACAGTTGCAAATACTAGATTATTAAGTAAACACTTTATATAGTGGCAAAAACACATCCTATAAAGCTTTAAAGTGGTACGTCAGTACACTGGGGGCACGTCCTTACCAATATTGGGGTGCTTCAGAAGACGGCAGATTCTAGCTTCCCTTTCCAGTTTCTGATGATCTGTTAAAAAAACAAAAACAGAAAAATAAGTGACAACTTTGGCAAAGAAGATGAGAAGACAATAAACAGTATACCAGAATGACATACAGCCTGCACATTTACTTATCTTCTGATTTCTTTTTAAAAACTCAACTTAAAAACCTGAATTTGGAATTACATGAACACAACACCGCTTTTAACTGTCTAATTTCCTTTCCTGCTCACTGGCAGACGCTGGACAGCAGCGAACATGTCAGAGAACAAGCGTCCCCCTGTCTCTCCGTTAAGTGCAGGAGCCACCACACAGCACAGCAGCTGCACGGGGACGCGCTGCCGCCACACCGGGCGAGACCGGACACGGGGAGCCGGCGGGCCAGGGCAAGCGGGGGCGCCACAGCCCGTCCCGGGGGAGGCCTGTCCCTGTGCTGTCACCGTTCCTGCTGGACACTCTTCACACAGCCGTCCCCTCCTCCTCCCTGGGCGACCACGCTCCTCTTTGCACCACGGGCGTGCCCACCCCAGCCTGCCGGCTCTTCCCCACCCTCCTCTGTCCCCTAGCCGCTTCTGGGGAGGGCCGGGGACCCTGGAACCCACATCTTAGGAACCTCCTGAAGTTGTTCATCTTTGGTTCCTTTGCCACGGGCCGTGCATATGATTATAACCAAAGTCACAACCCACGCACAAAGTAATGGCAGAGAGAGGCGAGAACACCGTGGAAACCCAGTGGCCGAAGGCAGCCCCGGGGAGAGGCCCTTCCTGGGGAGCCTCAAACTGGGGGCAGCCCCGAGCGGGCAACGCCGCTGCGCTGGCTCACAGGCGGGGCCGCTGCGGCAGAGGGGGCTCCGCCTCCCAGATTACAGACCAGGAAGTTACCGCTCAGCTCCCGTTAGCCAACACAACAGCCTTGGAAGGATGTAGGGACACCTGCCTGACCACCCAGAGTCTGCACCCACCGTCCTGCACGCTGGCCTCCGACCCCAACCCTAGACGCTCCTCACTTTACCGCGAGCCCCGGAGAGCTTTCGTTTATGTGCATTAGATCTATGAACAGTTACTCTGGTAGAGACACAACACACTGAGGAAACTGACAACATACACTCAACCCATTTAAAAACAATAACAAAATTTGTTCACATCAGCATAAGTCACTGCATTTAAATGCTAAACTTCTGTTTGGAAATAACTGAACCACGAAAAATTGGGAGAGAAAGAATAGTTTAAAAACACCTGCATACGACGATCCAGATACATCCCTTAACACTTCACCCAGTTTTAATCGTGTACACTCTTTCCACCCCGTGCACGTGTGTGCACGCATACACACCCATGTGTTGACACGTGCACATACACACACACACACACGTGTATTTATGCCTAAAGTAATTCTCTCTACACTGTGGGGGTAAGGAGTGCAGGACACCGTTTCAGACGAACGCGGTGCTAAGGCCGGCCCAGGGGGAAGTGCGCCTGAATGGCGCGGCCGCGGACACGGCAGACGCGACGCCCCGCCCGCGCCGCCGCCTGAGACCGCGCACGCCTCCCGTACGCGTTGGCGCTTCGGCCCCACCCTCCTTCTCCAGGCAAGCCCCGCCCAGAACACCGTGCGCAGAAGCGCACCGCTGAACCCGAACGCAGGTTGGGGAGTGCACCCAGCCCCCTCTTCAGTGCTGTGAAGTGTCACACGTAAGCACACAGCACAGCGTGCTTTCAGGGTTCCTGATTTTGTGATGGGGAGAGGGACACGCAAGTGTGCGAAACCAGGAGACAGAGTCCGACGACCGGCGTGGAGTGACGCACGCGGACGGCCGGTTCGCGTGGGACGCTGCGCGACACGGACCAGGCGGCGGGAGGCGGTGCTGACGGGGGGGACAGCCGTTGGGAGCCACGCCCCCTCGAGCCACGCCCCCTCGAGCCACGCCCCCGCAACCCCGCGTGCTGAGGCCCGGCCCCGCCCTCAGAGCAGGACTGCGTCTGGAGAAGGGTGTTCCAGGGGCAATTACGTTAAAATGCGGCCAGGAGGGCGGGCCCTGCTCCACCCCGAGTACAAAACGACCTCAGGGAGGCCCTGCGAGGACGAGGCAGGGGACCTGCGAGCCAGGGAGAGCGGTCTCGGGTGGGGCCACCCACAGCGCCGGGGTGGGCTGCAGCCCCCAGCGCTGGAGGTGCTTCTGCTGCTGCAGTCCCGCATCTGCGGGCTGTCGGGGCAGCGCCCGGCTCACTGACCCCTCCCCCCCCCGCCCCGTCAGGGCACAGGTTGCTGCAAATGCAGAATCCTAAAAGAACACCGTTGCGAGAGTCAGGGTGTGGGCACCCTTGAACTGCGCCCTTTGAGGGGTCTCTCAGGTGGTATGGAAGGCACCGGCCAGGGGACAGGGCTGGGGTGTCCCCCTCTTGCTGAGAAGGGCGTGCCCCCAAGCCCACAGCCTGAGGGACCACAGGTCCTAGGGAGCAGCTGAGCTGAGGGCCTTAGCTCCCTGCCAGGCTGAGGACCAGAGGGCGGGCGGAGGCTGCCCTGGGTTCCCAGGAGCTGCCAGCACCTGGCAACTTGCTCACCAGAGTCACCAAGGGAAAGAATCTGCTGGCGACGGCCCGTCGTCCCTGCCCTTCTTATCTAGGGTAGCCACAGAAGTGACACCCTGTCACGGGAGCCACATTCCATGGGTTCCACGCAAGTCCCAGGTGGGCCCACTTGGAAGGGGCAGGGCTGGGCCACCCGGACCACAGCCGACTGCTCGCCGGGCTCCGAAACTCAGTGACCCCCCGGACTCTGGGGCAGCTTGTGGCATCCCAAACACGATGACAGAACTGAATTTTTCATAAAAGCCAAATTCATTGATAACGGAAATGCTTCCCTTTCAAAACCCAGCTCCCAGCTGCACGTCAGAGGGAGCAGGCAGGGGCGGGGCGGGGGGTCACTTGCTGGTCACCAAAGCGCATGTCTGCATCCGTCCTTCGAAGACAAGGGCCAGGTTCACACTTAGAGCGTCCTCGCCTCTAGCTCGGTTGCCCGCGGCAGTCACACCGCCTGCGCCCGCACCCCCAGCCGCACCCCCAGCCCCCACAGCTCCGGGCGGACGGCACTCCTGCCTGCGTCCCGCAGCCGCTGCACCGCAGCTCCGTTCCTCGCTGTGCGGTCACCCTGCTCCTCCCCCGACGCCCAGGCCCACGCCCGCCCAGGCGCAGAGGCATCGCCCTCAGGCTGCCGTCTGGTCGGCCCTGCGTCGACACAGGCTGGAGACCTGCCCTGGGAGCCGTGTCCGGGGGGAGACAGCACCGCTCCGTCTGCGTCCTCACGGAAGCCGCGGGGAAGAGCGTTACCCGGCACAGGGAACGCTGAACCCGGAGTCTCTCAGAATTCTGAGACCATGTACTTATTTATGTCTTCCCAGGCATAAGATATTTGTTTTAACTGAAAAAGATTGTATTCTAAATGCGGTGACACATGTGAACTCAAACCCCCTGCTGCCCTGAATCGAATGGTTGCCTTTACACAGGAGGACCCTGGCCCCGGGGGGAGACTGGGGTCGCCCTCCCGGCGCAGCGGGGTGTCGCCGAAGCCCCCGAGGGACCGGCGCTGCGACCGGACGGCCTCTCCCGGCGGCGAGGTCAGCAGCATCACCTCTCCTGGGGGAGCCACCCGTAGCCAGGACTCTCTCAGGGAGGCGGCAGCCCATCGCCATCATCAGCCTGGACTGTCAAACTGCCGGAGCTCCATGAGGCCTGGGGGGCCATCAGCCGCCCCCCCACGCAGAGCTGCCCCGTCAGCGCGGGCGGAGCCAGGGGCTCGGGCAGCAGCCAGTCAGATGCCCCAGACGCGGATGCCCACTGGAGTGTGCAGGTGCGGCCGAGGGAGGTCTGGATGCCCCCGATGGGCAGACGCCCACCCAGGGCTCACAGGGCAGTCCCGGAGGGCAGCCCGGGTCCCTGAGGGTGGGAGCTCGGCGGCAGCCCCAGCAGACAGGCAGCCCCGTCCCTCCACCCCGGCCCTGCACCCCTCCCCTGCGCCCAGCCTGACACTGTCCCTCAGACCCGCTGAGTCTGGAGGGCGGCTCATCCTGCTCCTCCGGCTTCTGCACGACAACCAGCCCAACTCGATCCTCAACTCGTTCACATCTGTTTAGTTTCTAAGAAACTCAAGTCCAAGTGAGACACACGGCCCCGCCCGGGGACCAGGCCGTCCGGCCATCCCCGCACAAGAGGAGAAGGACCTGCACGTGGCCGGGGCGTTCACTGCCGGCTCTACCTGCGGGGTGCCCCCAGCAGAGCAAGCACGCACACTAACCTGTGTCCAGTGACCGGGGTAGCTGCTGTGATGAACCGAGGAAGCAGAACCATGGAGACACCCCACAACCACATGGCACCCGGCACCCAGGGCCTGGCAGGCTTCTGCACGGGAGGCCGGTGTTCCCTGCAGGGGCCCCGGAACACTGCCGGGGTGCTGGGGTCACGCCCCCCACACATCTCGTCAGAGAAGCAACTCCCTGCTCAACAAGGCAGGAGAGGAGAGCCTGTCCAGCTCACGGGCCAGGCCGAAGGCCGCACCGCAGGTCACAGGAGCTCCTCAGAGGGTCAGGGTGTCATTAAACCTGAGCACGGTGCGTCCAGATTTAAAACTGTCATCTTCGTTAAGAAAAGGGGTTTAAATTGATAATTAAACATGATTTTCATTTTGACCTATGCTTAATCCATGACATAAGTTTGATATTTAACTCTCAGACCTGCATTCCCTCTGATGTCAGGTGCTGGCCACCCACCACCCACGGACAGTCCAGGAGGCAGATGGCGTCAGAGCCTGCGAAACCCTCCCAAACCCACCCCCCCTGCACTCTCCACCACACACAGCTCCCCGGGCCGGTGCCACCTGAGCGCAGCAGTGCACACCCCACCCTCCTGGAATCACAGGACCCCTGAGACACAGGTGAAGCTCCTGCGGATCCTTCGTCACCTGGGGGTGAGCACTGCTCCCTGACATGCGCCCTCCCACACCCGCTGGGGCCCCTTCCGCACCCGCTGGGGCCAGG